AAATCAAAATGGTATTTTAAAGCTTTAAAGCACATTTTATAAGCATTCCCGGGTTTAATCTACATACTGAAATATTTGTTTATTTCAAAATTTTTAAATTGTTGCTTAATAAAAACCGTAAGTTTGTATACCTTTTATCGTTTGTGTGAAGTGAGCTGGATTATCGTGCTTTGAATGGCCTTAAAGTGCCAATTTGTCACTTGTTCAAAATAGAAATTTTTAGCACCAAGTTTCAAATGCATAAATTTAACTGTAGTACAAATTTGAAAACTTTTGATATTCAAAATTTTCTTGTATCTAACCATATCCTGTACAAGCTATCAACTAATAACTTATATTCGAATATATTTCTTGTATTTTTGTATGTATCCTCTTCGTCCGTCCTCATGTTTGTATGTAATCGGTTATCCTGCTCAACATCATCACCACCACCTCAATTTCCAATACCACTACCACCATTACTACTACTTTGACAAAGCGTTAAATTGTTTTTTGGAAACATAAAAAAACATTTGTTGTCGTCTATCCTCACTATGATACTCTTTAACGTATTGTTTGCTATGTGTTTGTGCTCGTGTGTTTTGCCTGTTTTTGTGCATCTATCTCTTTCGCCTCACGTTCATATCTCAAAAACCAAAACCAACCATAAAAAAAAAAAAACAAAAAACAACAACGTCTTGGCACGATACCTACCCATGCTCTCAATCAACTGCAATGAACATTCAAAACGTTATCGAAATCCAAACCAAAATCGTAAATCATTTGGGAACACATTTAAGGTATAGGTTCATCACCACACTCGATTAAACTACCACCTATTTCGGCAGATGACTCTGTTACAAATGACTCTGTGCACAACAATGTCGCAAATGCGCATACGCGTAAATTTTTCAGCAACAAAACGAAAGCCATCGTCTGGGGCATGCAACAACGGGCTGTACAATCAAAAAAAACGATTTAACCAAACAAAAACGTGTTACTGAACTTTTAAATGCAATAAGAATCATCGCTTTTTTCTTGACAGTCTATCAGTGATCGTAAATAACAGTTATCACTTGTATATGTATTCCTATAATAATTAATGAGATAAACATTAGCCCTGTTACACGTACTTCAGCATTTGCAGGTTTTACAGAATTTACAGGAAAAGCTGTTTTCGCCATTAATAAACTTTATGAAAAGTGGCGATCGGGAATGGCTTCCTGTAAAAACCTGTAAAACCAGCAAAAATTTAAGTACAAATGTATGATACAAATTATTAATTTTTTATTTCAGCAATAAATGTGAAGGGTGAAAAATTAAAAAAAAACTTAGTTCTTCAATAGCATGCACTTATTTTCCCATAAATACAATGTTAAAAAATCAATATCTGGGATATTCATCATTACCCAGAAGATAATTTAGGTAGCCCATCCTAAAAGGTCTACCGAAGAAGGGCTGAAAAAGTACTTCCTTGCATGCCTTCTAGAAGGGCTTATCCATTTACAATTTACGCGAATGCATAAATTTATATTATTTAACATTACAAATGAATTCCAATTAAAATTTTAAATTACATAACACATATTTGATATAAACCTCGAGCAAATACTTCAAAGATGTATGATTTTTATAAATTAAAGAAGCAACTTTAAAGAACTCCTCCAAAAGGCCTTCTGAAGTACGTCCTATAAAAGCCCTTCTGGAATGCCTTCTATGGGTAGCGAAAGAGGAAGCCCTTCAATTTGTGCCACTCCATACAAAAAAGAAAGGAGAAAGGAATATAGAGTGGAAGGCCTCTTGATTCTCAGGAAGGCCTTAAGGAAGGGCTTTTAACCCCTGCAATTATCTACTGGGTAGCTAGTCTTTTGTCTATTAACACTTTCCGCGTTCTGGAATGGAATCCCCAAACGTTTTCTTTTGTGGATCGCATTATCATCGCTTTTCAAGGTTCAGCAATAGTCAGGCTAGGATGTAGAGGTTTGATTTCCTATCATACCGCTTCTCCATACTGGTTATGACCTGGTGGAATCGTTCGCCATGTTCTTCGCTAGTGTTTTTTTACTAAGTTTTTTTTTTAATTTTTCACCCCTTTCTACTGAATCAATCGACAGGAGGTTGAATCCATCAGACGAATTGGATTTTCATTAATACGTGATTTTTTCTTCAGAAAAACTAGTTCAAATTATATTTTTAATTTTTTGTTTTAAACTTGGCATTTTTACATACTTCATCGTTTTTTTTTTCAAGTACTGGACATGCTAGACAAATTTTGTAAATGCACTTCAAATCAGCATCGAAAAATCTATGAGATGAGGTTGGACCCGTTTTTGTTATAAAATACGACCAAATTTTGTTGAACCGTATAATATGCAATGCGAGAACGCTCCTATAATTTCAGATACCTTTTATTAACATCATATACAAGCCAAGTGATAGAAACATAATCATTTGTGGGTTAACTGTTATTCGCGATCTCTGCAGTCCAAACATGTTTATGAAAGTGGGCAGAAAAAAAAAACTTATGTTGAACCATGCAAAACCATCCAAGAATATATTTAATTTTACACCAATCTTTTGGAAGGCTTTTATTCAAACATAATTGTCAAATGTAAATGCAAACTTACCGCCATTATTGCTCTCTGCAGTTTCAGTGGCCTTGAGCTCAGACTGTGCTTGCTGACCTCCGGGCAGTAGAAAATTAGCTGTGGAGAATTCTGCAGCTGTGGTTTGTGGAATGGCTCGTTTACCCAGCGCCATGCCACAAATCGCAGTCATATGCGTCTCTGGACCGAACACGTGCAATGGAATGCCAAGTGTGGAGCCGAATTCGCGCATCTTGCGCAAGCCTTCTTGATAATTGGGGCCGGCACGACGCACGAAAATCGACACATTGTGTTCGACCAGTTTGGGTTGGAATTCACGCAGAGCTGTTATTATGCCACGGAAGGTTGCAGCAACATTGGTGAAGTTAGCAATGCCACCACCAGTGATGAGCACTTTTCCCTCTGGATGCTTTGGTGACGAAGTCATGAGGGTCAAAATAGTTTTGGCATATTCATAAGTTTGCTGCTCAGATGGCGCACCACTGTATTCACCATAGTTGGCCAATTCGGAGGCACCACCCAAATCACAAATCGTATCTGAATAAATAACACTAGCGCCACCACCGGCCACCATAGTCCAAATGCGACCATTGCGATTGAGAATTGTCAACTGTATAGAAAAGAGATATGAGTGATGTATGTATGTATGTATGAACATATATAGTAAAATAATCCTACTGAAATGTCAATGCAAACTAACCTTCAATGAAGCGCCACTCTTCGCATCCAAATCGGCTATGTAGGCTTCTTCTGGATATGCGTCGCGACCGAACGGCGGTGGATACTCAACATCACCCCATTTGGGACGGCAAATGAAATCGGCCGTAGAATCCAATTTGGCAGCCAAGTCCAAAATATACATGCTGTCTTTGGTCACGACCAGTGGATTGATTTCCAAATATGTGAAGTAAAGATCGACATAAGCTCGGTAAAGAGCGAAAATAAAATTGGCGATACGCTTCTTCTTCGAAGCATCGTTGACATGTACCAACAGTTTTGTTGTGATTTCTTCGATGGAAGTTTCATTGTTAACCAGCACGTCCAATTTCAAGGCCTTCGCATCTACATCACCAATATCAACACCACCTTGGTGGTAGAACAGAATCGTATCGGCACTGCGATGCGAGTAGATGCAGACATACATTTCCTCAGACTGGTGTGATTAGAAGTGAAAATACAAAGTTAGATTGAATTTTAAATAACAAATGTTTAATTTCCTAACTTCCTCTCACCTCGTCATGTGGCAAAAATGGCTCAATAATGAAATTACGCAACTTGCCCACAGTATTGCCGATCTTTTGATCCTTATCTATGCGTTCGCCAATCCATTGCTTGACTTGTTCGAAATTTTTCTTAACGCCGATTAAACCCAATTTGCCGCGTCGCTTAATCAATTGATCCGGTTTCACCACTAATGGCTGCAAATGGAAAATTACATAAAAGGTGTATGAGTAACTATAAAAGCGCACAATGTTCACTTGTAAAGTCGGTAATCAGCTAAAAGGTGTAGGTAAATAAAATAGATATGACTTTATGTATGTACCTGCATATGTACTAACTAAACGTGATCGAATATACTCGTGCGTACATACTAGAAGTAGTGCAGTGGCGCACCTAAGAATGTAAATACTTATGCATACATATATACATATGTATGTATGTATACATATGAATACTATACTATTGCTAGAAACAAAGGTTATTCAAGATACTGAAAAACAATTCAAATATTGGATTGAATATGGCTTTTGAACTTGCAAATATCAACACATGCACAAATATTACTTGTGTTTATTTATTTGTATTGTCAAACGCAGATGTAGAATCACTTGCGAAAGTGCAAAAGTGGCATTGCAGTTCTAAATATTCATAAAAAATATGAAAGGAACCAAGGCTAAGAAGTTTCTTCATACATAAATATGTACTATATATAGTATGGTGGGCCGAAAGTCCGCTTTTTTTAGAATTTTGTTTCCAAATATAGCAAAAATATGATTCATTACGCTTTGAAAAAATCTGTGTGAAATTTAGAATTTTTTAGTCAATATCCTAGGCTCGCCCAAGCCCATCAAAGTTCAATATGCTCAAAAAATAAAAATTAATAAATAGATTAATTAATACATTTTTTTACTAAAATTGCAATAATCTTCGAAAGTATTAGTCCTACATAGTTTGGTATATGGATCCTTTTTGTAGAGAATCGAAGTTAGCTAACAAACAAATTTTTTAGTACTTCACCTTTGGTGGACATGGGTAGGGACCATATTTTTGCTATTACCAATCAAAATTCTAAAAAAGCGTATTTTCGGCCCACGCTAATATATAGTACAAGAATATATGTGCAAGGATATGGATATTTTCCAGTAAGAAAAAAGAAAACCATAGCCAGGTGCTCAGAGGAGGAAGGAGTTGCGGGCCACCCTGGTAATTAGTAATTAGTTAAGATTAGAAATAATCATAAAATAATCACAATTTAATTAAGAAACTAATGCAATTATTTTTGTAATTATTTAGATTATTTTTAAGATATTTTTTTTTCAATTCATCTGTGGACACCCGGACGCTGTTGACTTTATTTATTTTTCTAAAAGTCTAGATTTAGTTCTTTATTTCAAAACTTGTCTTTTGAAAGTATTTTTTTGATACGATGTCAAACATTAATGTATTGCATATATAACAGCCTAGTAGTCTGTACTACAGACTCTGTAGATACAAATTTTGAAGAAAGAGCGGAGAGAATGCATACAAGTTGGAGAGCTCTTCCTTGTCGAAGCGAGTGCATTTACCATTCTTATTACGTGTGAAGAATGTGCAAAGCTTATTTGGTTCTACTGGCAATGCTAAGCTTCACCAAAGCTACGTTGACTGTTACTCAGTATAGGAAATGTAGTCACACCTCAGCCAAATTATTATATACTAGCGTGACCTAATGTGTACACCATCCAACACTACATATAAACGTTTCACTTATTCTCCCGTAAACAGCGGAGAAGGCTGTGAATATTCAAGGATTCTTAGCCCGCTACGCTGAGAGATATTTCTGATTACGTTGTCGTATTTAGGACAAGGCAGGACGGGCGCAGGGAAATTTCTCGATGCCATTTACCTCCTCCTCGTTCCTTTAACTGTGGTAGAAGTCATTAGAGGGGAAGCGTTTACGCTCTTCTTGTATTCACATTGAAAAAATAATATTTTGGCGCTTACACTTTAGTAAAGCGTTTGGCCGAGCTTCTCCTCCAATTTTTGGAGGAGATGTGATTACACAAATGAAGGCACCTACAGTTTTACGGCGTAACCGAACGGCAAATGAATTTTATGAGAAGCTTTCTCAAGGCAGAAATAGACTTGGAGAGGTTTGCCATTTCCAGTCGAAAACCTTTTTCTGTAATTTTTTTTGGATGTTACTTTGACCAGCAATTTGAAAACAATTCAAGGTAACGTGCGATAAATTACAAATGGAAGCGTAGGTTGGGGAAGTATTGCGGGTATATTCCCGCTTCGAGCTGTATCATCTAATATGTATAAAATATTTAGCCAAAATGTCTCCAATTTCAGGAACAAATTTGATCACCTCTTACAAAATTATATTTGATTGTACGAGTAACTATAAAAGTGTCTTCCCGTTAAGTGAACTAGGGCCTATCAATAAATTTAATAAATTTGCTTTTAAAAATGCATATGTCTTAATATTAACACAGATGTCTCTAAAAAAGCGCTCTTTCCGATTAAATGGGCCGGTCTGACCCACACAATCACAAGTGTAAACGCTCACCTGACGTCATAACATGAACAACATCAGGCCACCTTGCTGCTTACAAACAATTGACACCACGACAACAATTTTGTTGTGTGTTTCTGTACTCTTGGGTGTAGCATAAGATCGTTATAGTTGAACAAAAACACTAGAGGATGATTGCATATATGTATGTATTAATAATGAGCTGGTTGGGAGAGAGAAATAAAGAGAGTGGGATAGGATTCTGACGAGTTCATCGTGATAACGATAAGGTAAATACATAAACAAACGCTAGAAATTGGATGATGTATGACGTTCGAGTACTTATACAATTTTTCAAATATATTTTTGCATATTCAATAATTTCTACGTTTAAAAATAGCACGTACTCTATACAACTGCAAGGTAGTACCACTCAGCCAAAGCGGTCGCCTACTAATACTTTATTAGATATAATAGTCGAGACAAAACATATTGAGTATGATTTTTATGAATAAAAGCGACAGCTGAATGAGAACTCCTCCAAAAGGCCTTATGGAATACGTCCTAAAAAAGGCCTTCTGGTAGCCGTTTTATTGATAGCGAAAGCAGAAGGCTTTCAATTTGTGCCACTCCATACAGAAAAGAAAGGAAAAAGGAATGCAGAGTGGAAGGCCTCTTGACTCTTAAGAAGGCCTTTTGGAAGGGCTTTTAGCTCCCGTAATTATCTACTGGGTACAGCACCAGTAACAACTGAGAAATGCTTGATGAATTTCGCCGACCTAAACGGGGATAGATCGCCGAACGAACAGCCCTTGGTCGGGTAAAACCCGAGTCATTCCGGTACGTAGAACCGGCTGTCGTGGGAATGACAGACCCTGAACGACATTCACTGGGAGTCGGTTCGTTCGGAGTCGGTCAAGTTATGTAGACTATCCGACCACGGGCTGTCACTCCAACACTAGGCTAATTTGGCGAAGGTGGTAAAGGTTGAGCAAAAACAAAAATTACAACAACAAATTATACGCGCAATGACAGCAAGAAGTAGCCCAAAATACAACGAACGCAACCTTGTATAAATTCGCCTTGCTCCAGTATAATTCCTCAAAAACTTTGGAGAATTTGTATGCTGTTACAGCAATAACAACCACAGCAGTGAGAAATAAATTAAAAATTACACAAAACGATGGCAAAACGCCGAAATCGGGTTGTCTCCGAACCTAAATTTACGGAATGGCGGCAATTCATTCTAAAATAAACACTTTTCTACAACTTTTTTCCACATACACACATACAAGAAATCGCACAAGAAAATATACAAGAAATGTTTATTTAACTATTCCCACCATGCAAAACATGGGAAATACGCATCAATCGTCAATAGCAAAAAATTTACGACTCACCGATTTATTGCCGTGGTGACAAATCGGCAACATCATTTCTTTCACGTAAATTTTGGAATAAATAAGTTATCAAAAATTCCCAAACTTATGCATTTCACAACAAAAGCAATATCCAGAAGCATCTAATTTATGCCAGAGATAGGATTGAAAAAATAGGAAACCCCATATCGAGAGAAAGACTTAATCCCGTTTTTAAGCTCCAATTTTTTATACAAAAAATAAATGAAGTATTAAGAAGTAAAACAATTTCCAAATATCGCCTGTAGCAATAAAAAAGCGATAAGAAAACGACTGATTCAGGTAATAACAAAACGATTCGCCCATGGCGGTATTACCGGCAACAAAAATTGTCTGGTGGGTTAGTACTATTATCAAACACATCGCATGATTTACAAAAAAAAAAAACAACGTTCAAAATACAAGTCTATGACTAAGACCGAGTCAGTGGCTAATAAGATTTTTTTCATAGGTTTATAGACAAATAAGTTGTGATTGTTATCATATATTGAATATTCTATAATCAAATAAACCACGCGATTGTTGTTAAATCAGCAATAGCCATGCGTAGCCTATAAACACATACTTAATTCGCATTGACCTCTAGCTACGGCTATTTAAAATTTCCACATCTACACTTTTAAATCAACTAATACAGTTCTATTAGAACATATAGCAAAAGCAATACCGATAACAGCAATAAATGCAAATGTATACATACATATATGTATGTTAACTCATACATATGTACATATATTCAATAAGTCTGGAAATTGACAATCATAGGTTTGTGTGTTTTTAGCGTTATCCCATTATCAGTGCAAATAAAATAAAATATAAAGAAAAAAATTAACTTAAGCTCTCGCGTACCATAATAACGGTATTCTATTTTGATATTATTAATTAAACATATGTACATATGTATGTACTTATGCATATTCCAATGCATATATTTAACATGTAGGAGAATTGCTGATTGATTATTTAATAAAAAAAAAAAAAAAAATAACAATTTAATTTCGTGATGAACAAGCAAATTTTTGCCGGTTGTGTTGAAGTTCAATGGAAAACGATTTTTTGTATAATAAAACTAATTTAAAATCACGTAAATTTTAGTATTCGTAATATTAATTATATTCTACCCTGCCCACCTTTACTTCATACACTTTGAAATATTTCTGCTTCAAGATTGTGTGCAATAAAAGTGTGAAGTGTATAAACTAAATGTGGTACTAAATGGTACTAAATCAGAGAAGCCATTCAATCGATTTAGGGTACTGTAAATTATTTTCACACATATACAGGTAAATAAGAGATTGTTATTATTGTGTAGCTGTTAAATGGTTATCGACGCGAGTACTACTTACCGTGTCCAGCAGCCAAGGATGCCTTACGGACAATTGTGACCAATCCGTTTGGGTGTTCACTGTTGCAAACCGACACTGAGCCGCACCGGAAGGTCCATTCACATTCAAATGCCGATTTAATATATCCTTGCCAGAGGCTTCGGAAATGGCTTTGGCAGACATGTTTGTGACTGTTTGTTTTTAGCAAGAAAATTTTCCTGTTAGATTTGTGGTATACACAGTATTTTTAGTTGTTGTTTGCTAAAAATTAAGAAAAGTAGTGTTAGAATTATTACATATCGCAAAATAATATTCTAAAAACTGAAGTAAATTAATTTGAAAGTCCATGACCCTTAGCTATCCCAGTAGATAATTTCAGGAAATAGAAAAAGCCCTTCTAGAATTTATGCAGGGAAGCACTTTCTTCATACCTTCTTGGGTAGGCCTTTTAGAATCGTTTCACTTAAGAAGGCCTACCTAAATTATCTTTTGGGATATTCGTTTTATATGTATAGCGCGTTTTGTAAAAAGAAACGATATTTTACTTTGAAATCAGATTTTATAAATTTGCCAATTATAGACACACTAAAATCAGGTTTTAGGAGCACACATCCAAATGAAACTGGAATGTTGATGCAGCTCGTGGCCATTAGTCTACACTCCTAACATCCCAAGGATTTTTATTTCCACCAACAATAAATGGCGAATAGTTTGTCATCGTAGCAACAACCACAAACACTTTCACAGTTTTAATGGGGCATTTTTTGTGGTTAAAATAAAATTTTAGGTTCGTCTAGATGAGATCACTTTTAGAAAGCAATTATTTATAAAGATAATTATTTTTAATATCATAAGGAATTTTCAGGTTCTAGTATATTATTAACTTGTATTTTGTTGCATTTTATTAAAAAGTGCAATTTGTTCAATAAGCGGCCATTTAAAGCACCTCCCTTCTACGAGCGAAAAGTTAAACGATTACACAAAAACAAGTTTATTTAAATGGACAAATATTAAATGGAAAAATACGCGCCACATACTCGCTTTTTCTTTCGTTCTTTTTTCTTCTTCTTTATGTCTGTATTTCCTTTCGAGCGAGACCGGTGCCCGTTTAATAGCAAATGCCAACTATTTGTTTAACACCAAGCGGTACGACAAGTGTATATTTATTGAGCCAGCAAGCAAGCAACCGTTTCAAAAGCGCGTCAGGCGAGAACTGAAATCAGCTCAAAGTAGCAGGTAGAATGAAGCCAACCGTTGCTCCTGTGGCGTTGCTAATGCTTCGAGAGCGAATGTGATTGTGTAGCACCCACTTCAGCGACGCCGTAAATTGTACCACGACATTACGAAAGGCAGTACGCACGTATCGTTAACATCGACGAAAGTTAATGATCGTTGCTGATCGCTCTAACTAATCGCACTTAACACTGATATCAGCCAATAGTATATGCGTAGCGCTCACTTTTATTTAAGCTTAAGCAGATCGGATCGAATATGAAGTACATAAGGATATTCATATAGTAAATGCATGCAATATTGCTGTTTTAAAAGTTTTATAGAATATTATATTGGATTTCTAGTTCTCTTTAGTCTTTAGATATGTTTGCTTCATATAGTACATACATACATATGTATGTAATTGATTTAATTTAAATTGGAATAAGCAATATGAAACGTCAAAGCTGCTACATATGTACATATGCACATATGGCGTGACATGTTCTGAACACCGTTCCAGCGTGCGCTTCAAGCCTGAGCATATGCTTACATATATGTTCAATAGGGTGGTCCAAATTTAGAGGTCACTCAAAGCGTTCAAATTGTTCCATGTAATTTAAATTGATTCTTGAAAATCAATATTTTTCGATCGGAAAACTCTGTTCTCATCAGAATACATAAACCAATGAACATATCCAATTGTTTATTTTAACATTTTTTCATAAACATAACANTCACTTTTATTTAAGCTTAAGCAGATCGGATCGAATATGAAGTACATAAGGATATTCATATAGTAAATGCATGCAATATTGCTGTTTTAAAAGTTTTATAGAATATTATATTGGATTTCTAGTTCTCTTTAGTCTTTAGATATGTTTGCTTCATATAGTACATACATACATACATATGTATGTAATTGATTTAATTTAAATTGGAATAAGCAATATGAAACGTCAAAGCTGCTACATATGTACATATGCACATATGGCGTGACATGTTCTGAACACCGTTCCAGCGTGCGCTTCAAGCCTGAGCATATGCTTACATATATGTTCAATAGGGTGGTCCAAATTTAGAGGTCACTCAAAGCGTTCAAATTGTTCCATGTAATTTAAATTGATTCTTGAAAATCAATATTTTTCGATCGGAAAACTCTGCTCTCATCAGAATAAATACATAAACCAATGAACATATCCAATTGTTTATTTTAACATTTTTTCATACTAAAAACTGTTTACCTTGACGGATTGACGGACCTATAAAATATAGTTAACGTATGCGGAACGAAATACGAACTGATGCAGTAAAAAGAAACAGCTATACTTTCGGATGCAACAAATATTGTTTTCCCACTCACATAAATATTGTCGAAATTTCCAAGAAACATTTTTATAAAAAAAGACTCATGTCCTTAACAGGCCAATCGGTTTAAGTTTTCTGGAATAAGGTGGAGCGCTTTTATATTTTTTTGGGACTTTATTGTGCCAATTTGAGTNTATAGTTAACGTATGCGGAACGAAATACGAACTGATGCAGTAAAAAGAAACAGCTATACTTTCGGATGCAACAAATATTGTTTTCCCACTCACATAGATATTGTCGAAATTTCCAAGAAACATTTTTATAAAAAAGACTCATGTCCTTAACAGGCCAATCGGTTTAAGTTTTCTGGAATAAGGTGGAGCGCTTTTATATTTTTTTTGGGACTTTATTGTGCCAATTTGAGTTATTTTTTTTTTAGCCATTTAGGCGATAATTAGTTCAGAGTTACATTTAGGTGTCCTTTTATGGGTCCCCAATGAAAATTATTTCCCTAATTTGTTGTACAAAACTGAAATTAATGTGGTGCAAGCAAATTTTGGGAAAGCGCTCATAGCCGCTTTTTAATTTCCCATTCAACGTTTAAAAAATCTTGGGTAGATTGGTTTGCCCATATTTCACTATGTTTGTTGTATTTCCCTGGCTCTTGCATAGTCTCTAAGGTTTTTTTGCTTACTTTGCACTTCATTGTCATTATACGCTGTGATTTTGCAGAGAGATCAAGCAATTTATGATTTTTGTCATGGTCTCAGAGTTCGTTCACTTTCAAAGAAATTTTTAGTGGAATGCTTGTAAAGATTGCGCAGTAGATTTTGGTATACTTAGTTTGGCTCCTGTGTTTACCAGAATTTGTTAAAATCTGCTTAGAAATTGTCCGCATTTCATTCCGCATACGTTACTATGAATTAATGGTTAAATAAATAATTGGGTATTATTATTGGGAAACTCCTGAATAGAAACAGAAGTTCTTACTATCAGTTCGATAGTTCAAAATTCCGGGACCTTAAAAACACCGGCATCCCGGGATCATATATACACACAAACCCATATACGGAATTATATAAAACTATTACAATTTTGGAGTATGTATAACAAATATTTATTAACAACAATAATGAAGTTTTTTTTGCATTATTTTTAAGATTCAGCGATTTTAAATTTTGTTCTGACAGCATAAACTCGTCGTAGAGTATCAGTACGAATCGGATTTAATGAAGGCTGTCTACGAATTCCGAATTTACGTTCGTAGCTTTTGGGATCCAGTAGATTTCACGAAAATCGAACCTACGATGGATTCTGTGATAGCCCTGATTTTGAAAGCGTCAATCTACTATTATTATTATTATACTAGTTTCAGTTGAAAGCTTAATCCTAATTTGCGTATTGAAAAGTTAATAGGAGCAAGCTTTGCAGCAACAATATTGTATACAGCCCCTTGTTACCTCTCTTAATTGAGTTCTCTCTCCGGAAAATACATAGTTCACAACTGACAACATCAAGATTACCTACAACAAAAGCCGTTTTCTCAGAAATCGGAGACAAGTGATGACGGAAATCCGTTTCAAAATCATCAAATCATCTTTCTGCGCGCTCGGAAAAATCAACCAACAAAATCAATAAACGCAATGTTGTTGTTGTTGTAACAGCATACAAATTCCCCAAAGAGATTCTGGGGAGTGTTGGAGTATTGCTGGAGTGACATTCCTTGGCCAGATGTAAAACAAGGTCGTTCCGATTACCTAGATCCGACTGTCGTGGGAACAAACAAACTTAAAAAAATTGTTTAATATAAACAGTTATGAAGCCACGAAAAAAACAAAAACAAAAACTTAAAGTGTAACTTAATTTAAAAACCATAACGACTTGATCAAGTCTAAATAGCAACAAAAAATAGTTGCCCTCGACTGTAGTTGAGTTGACAAATAAAAATAGTGGTAAAAAGCAACAACAGTTAACAAGACGAACTCAGCTCAGTGGGTAGACCACTGACTCTGAAAGCCGGAGTCGCTAGTTCAAATCCCAGTGGACTCGAAGAAAAGGTCTGATGCGGAAATTTTATAGCAGTGCAGTTATAACTTCTACCACTTTGTAATTATTGTTTGTTTTTTTACTATTTTCCAGAATTATTTAACAATTAACAGAATTATCTTTCTTCAGAGTGAAAATAAGATGAAAACTCGTGAATAAAAACCAGGAAAAAAAATTTACTTATTAACTTGAACCGTGGTGTATGTATGTTTTCGTATGACGGAGTGATAGCATGGTGTCGCCGTCCAGCAGATGAGTTTGTGATCAGAGATTAGCTAAAAATGTGATCAATTTGCCATTTAAAGCTCTCACATATATATATGTACACACACACACGTATGTACATATGTATGTGCATATGCAGTGACTCAAACAAGTGTTCACGTGTTGAATTTTTAAATATTCGCAATGTTTTTCAAGTTAAATTTTTTTGTTATTTTTCTATAAAAATACAGTCCAAGCTTGCACGAAAATCATATAAATCAAAGTTTCAAACTTTACATAAAATTTAGGAAAATTCAACGAATTTTTACTAAAAATTCAAACTTTTTATTCTGAACCTTCAGATCATTTTAATTTATTTATTGTGAATTTTACGCCAATCGGCATTTTACAATTTGTTAAAAATACATAATTAAAGAAAGGAAACACATAAGACACATAACATAACATAACATAAGAAATGCAAATTTCAAGCGGTTAAAAAATTGCCGTGGTTTTTAGTCATTTTTTCATTGCTTATGGTTTAAGCTTGGACAATATCTTTATAGAAAAAAAATAAAAATTTTACTTGTAAAACCAATTTGCGGTAAAACTAAAGGTCCAATTATACAAATAAGTTTGACACCACCTTGATAAGGTAAAATATATAAAAAAGGTCAATAAATTAACATTCAGGGCTATCACTGAATTCATCGTATAACTGAATCCGAATGCTACGTACGCATTCAAATTATATACTACGTTCATAGCAATTTCACGATTCAAATCTCTAGAATATGGGTGTATGTAAACATTTTCAATTCACTGTGTATTTTAGTTAATACAAAACAAATAAAAATAAATTTTTGAAACAGCAAATTTCGCTAGATGTTGAAAGAACTTTTCCTATCGGTACAAAATACAAAAAAATTGGGACGGCAATATTTTTGTTGTCACGCGATTGGTATAATACAGCGAACTTCCGCTGTAAATTTTGAAAAAAAAAATGTTTTTCGTTATTGGGATAAAGAAAAATATTTGTCCACTCACAAGATTGGGATACGATTTTCACCAAATTTTGGGCAAATGGCCAATCGTGTGACACTGCCTTATGAAATATTATATTCCGGGACACCTCACCTTTATGAAATTTCACTTGAGTGATGTAC